GCTCTCTCTTCCCTCGACTAGGGTGACCATATCCCAGTCATAAAAAAAGAGTAAAAAACGGGTAAAAGAAAAAAGAGTATAAAAGAGTACTAATTACGGTCCCAAAAGAGTACAGTAAGTAGAACACAAAATCATATAAAAGTCAAGGTAACGTCGAATAATATAAAAATTATATCATTTTGACGTCAAAATGATTTTATGTTTGATCTGGGACAGTGATTAATGGATTGCTAGGTATAATATTTAAAATAAAACATAGTACCAAATAAACCGAGAAATATTAGTCGAACACATTTTATTATATTATTAAGATATTTTGCACTCCGTACATCGCCTGACAATTTCGGTTTTCACTGTGTCGTTACCAAAGAGCGGACATCAGCGTCGTTTTCCGCACTCACAACGCCGGAACGCTATGCGCCATTGTCGATTGTGCTGTACGATTTATACGAGGACAGTCTGAAAAGTTCTCGGCCTGACAATGAAAGAAAATTTTTTTGCCGTGAAATATGTTTCATTTTTCAATATAATCTCCTGAAACTTCAATACATTTATTCCAACGTTTTTCCAATAATTCAATATCATTAAAGTGTGATTCCGGAAGGTTTTCTTCGCTCTGGTGTATAGTGATGGATCCAAGTTTCATCAACAGTTATGAAACGACGCTTGAAATCCATTTTATTTTGCTTAAAACGACCCAAACACGTTTGAGAAATATGCATTCGAATTGCGTTTTTGGTCAATTGTTAGCAAATGCGGCGCCCGTCTTGCACAAAGCTTTCTCTACTGGTGCTACTACTCGAGTGACTTGACAGATCGAATAAAATTTTAAATGGGTTTATATCAGAGATGCCACTTTCCAATACAATTATAGTCTGACAGTTTCTAATGCCATGTATGTGTCAGGTGGAGAACTTTTCAGACTGCCTACGTAGTAACTAGCGGTGCGCCGTTGCGCAGAACCTCTACGCATAATCGGTATTGGCGCTCGCGGCGCACAAATGCTGTGAGTGATGAAAACGTCACCGAAGTCTGCTCTCTGGTCATTATCGACAAAGTATAATCAACATTACGAAAAAAGAGTACATACAAGAGTACGATACGTAAAAAGTAGAGAGTACTCTTTTTACCACCTTAAAAAGAGTACATATACTCTTAAAAGAGTACATATGGTCACCCTACCCTCGACGGCTCTCGTTGAGCCGTTGCAAATGAGTTACGGACTCCAGCGGAGACAATATTCGAGCTCTATTGAGACAGGTAGTAACACTAACGAATCAATGCGTTCACATTCTCTTGTTTCCCCGAAAACAACAGAACACAAACCATTGGTTCGTTGACGTTACTATGCGTTTAACCTTTGCGACCCTTGTAAAGCAACGACCCGACTTCGAGTCGTACCTGAGGAAAGAAAAGAAAGAGAGAGAGAGAGAGAGAGAGAGAGAGAAAGTTGCTTAAAATTTCAGTCCGAAAACAACAGAATGCGAACCATTGGTTCGTTGACGTTACTACGTGTTTAACTCCTTGTAAAGGAACAACCCGAATCGATCGAGCCGTACCTGAGGAAAGAAAAGAGAGAGAGAGAGAGAGTTGTTTAAAATTTCAGTCCGAAAACAACAGAATGCGAACCATTGGTTCGTTGACGTTACTACGCGTTTAACCTTTGCCCCCTTGTAAAGAAACAACCCGACTTCGGTCGTACCTGAGAAAAGGAGAGAGAGAGAGAGAGAGAGAGAGAGAGAGAGAGAGAGAGAGAGAGAGAGAGAGAGAGAGAGAGAGAGAGAGAGAGAGAGAGAGAGAGAGAGAGAGAGAGAGAGAGAGAGAAGCTTAAAATTTCAGTCCGAAGGCACGAGAGCCTTCGCTCTCGCCATTAGACACAGTTACGACGCATTATCGGCTCCTAGAATGTCTAGGCTCCGAAATCGCAACCGTCTCGGTTACCGGATTGTTGGTCCGCCAATGGGACGCTCACAACCTCGCTCGATCGTACACCGGCTAGTGAGTCAAGGGCTTAGCCTTAGCGGCCGTTATGCAACTGCTGCTTCGCGTTTAGCCAATGATCGCGCGCGGCCGCGGCTTAACAAAGAGACCCCGGGACCCGGCAATTATCGGTGAGTATCGTTAGCGAATTAATCGCGTATCGGCCGAGAAGAAATATCGTAGCGTAATTGCGTCTTTGACCTTTCGAGCGGAGCCGCGACGCGACGGCGCGCGGATGATAAGCGGACTAAAGATCCGAGGTGTACTTTTCACGAAGACGAAGCGCAACCTTCGAGATGCGGGCGAGCACACGTTGTGTGTGCTACAATGTGCGAGCCGGGTGAACTTAACCTGAAAACGAGCCCGAAGGTGAAATTAGACACGAAACAAGAAAAAGTCCGCGCGTCTCTCGCGTCGTCGACTCGACTCGTCCGCGTCTCGTGTCCGCGCAACCGTTTCCTTTCTCTTGTTGATTCGGCTCGAGTCAAGATTAAATACGCGACGCCACGCCTCGGGCTTCGATCTGAGGTAGGGAAGGCGATAGAATAGCTGGCAGTTGAGAGAGAAGCGGATCGGGTTGCGTGAGGAAAAAAGGGGCACACCGGGTTGCCCAAAATCGGTGAGGTTGACCGAATTCACCAAAGTTGCTGAAAATCTCTCAGATTACCCGAACACACCTCGTCCGTCTCGAGCAGCTCGAGCGAAACGTTGGGTTATCTGAACGATGTCACGACGACCATCTGCACCGTGTACAATACAGCGCAACTGTAATAATACGTGCGCGCGCGGTGTGTGTTGGTGGGCGTACTTGTTGCAAGCTTGTCGCTTGTACGAGCTCTGATCAGCTCGCGAGTTAATTATTCCTCAAGAAAAATATTGGGACGGCGCACGGGGTTCAGTGCGCTGAGAAAAACTAGCGACTAAGAGTGAACACCTAAATTTTTTGCCCGCAACTGTTCTCGGCAGGCACTTCGATCTTTTGACTTTCGTGCAGTTTAATGAGACGCCTGTTTAGTTATTAAGATACTGAGTGTTGAAAATAGAGAAGCTATAAAAGTGGCGATGTGAAAAATTTGATTAATTTACTGCGTCCGCGAAGATAGACGCTTTGACGAATCAGCTCGGCTCTGGAATTAACTCGAACGACAAGTGATACAAGAAACTAACATACAGTAATGCAACAATTAGTTCTTTATCCGACTTTCAATAACGGGAAAAGGCTGTTTCATTAGTCGCAAATCTCACGAATACGAAGTCGGTATCTTGCGAAAATGTCGATGACGAGATTTCATTCTTGGATCAATTTTGATCTCTCTTCGGGGAAAACTTCACTCGAGACGTAATTACCGAGTTACATGTACCGTTGAAAATTAAACGGTCGCGGCGAGCAACTTTCGAGAGAAATAACAGAAACAGGAGCAGTTTCCGCATTAATTGTCGGTATATTACCTTAGAGAGAAAACGTTTAATTATCGAGCTTATTTAGCGTCGAGATTAAAATCACACGGCGGATATCGCGAGCAAATACGCACGCAGATACTGACCTTCCTCAAAAGATCTCGCTTTTTTTTCGAAATATTTTACACAAGATAATTAATCACCGCGTACACACACACACACACACACACACACACACATACTCCTCTTTGAATTTACAATTCAAAGACACGTAAAATTATGATGATGGAAAATTAATAACCGCCGATATGCCACCGTGTCAAAATTCAATACAGAATCTCACACGCGGATAATTAGTAAAATTTCAAATTACATAATTTTACGTACGTCCCAAGCACATTTCGAGAGCGCGTAGTAACGGAGCGAACAACCACAGACGTAGAGATTTGCAATATTGCTTCGTATTTCGCAAAGCGATTGCTTGCTACTGGAGAGCGTTGGCGCACCGAAACTCGTCAAGAACGAGTTTTTTAATGTTACAAGAACTTCTCATTAAGCCGACGCGATGTAATGTCGCTTTCGAAAACACCGCGCGCGCGCCCGCGTACCTCCTCCTCCTTCGTTTCGTCGACCCTGTCGCGGGGATACATGTGTCATTTATAAAACACGACGACCTTTGTAAGACCTCCCCCGCCATATTCCGCCCGCAAATCTCTCAATAATCCTGAGTGCTTTCCCGAATATTTCACCGCGCGCGGTTTTGCGCGCATGCGTCTTCCCTCACGGGCGACTGGTAAACAACGCCGGTCAATGTTCGATACCTGCCGATCGATTTTCCGCGGGAAGAAGAGCGAGAAAAATTCTGACATGGAACGATCCTTCTGGACGGTCTTCTGTCCGCCGTCGTCTCTATTTACTGAAATTATACGGCACAACCTCGTCGTATCTTCTTATTCTGGATAAGAAAACACATCGTACATAAAACACGTACGCGTGGGTCGAGTTACTCACAAAAGATTATGAGGATCGTGTCATTAATCTAAGATATTTTATTGCGCCTATTCGGCAAGACTTTGTATAAAGAGTCCTTTGGCGACAATAAAATTGTCATGTTCTCTTAACAACGAACGCAGTTACCTTTAATTTTACAGCCCGAGAGAGCGATAAAAGTGCGCATAATTTTGCAAGCGAAACGTGAGTGTTTTTAAACGTAAACTTTGAATTGTCCCAGATTATTTTTCTCAACAACTCAAAGCTCTCTTTGTGTGAGGTATTGATAATTAATTATTTTTCGTCAATAATCTAAAAAGTTCATCAGCTTGATATGTAATGACAACTGCTCTATATATATATATATATATGTGTGTGTGTGTGTAGACACAGTGATGAGAATCCCTTTCGTTTTCGTCATTCTTACATTTTCTCGCGTCAGTTCAAGTGATTAAGTATCACGATCCACGGATTTTCACTTTCCAATCATGTCACGCGCATACCGATACGAAGGCTTTATCGCCGGGGGAGAAAAATATCACAAATATCGCCGGCATGTTCTCCGGCATGACGGCGATGTTATCAATCATCGACATGCAAAGGGGAGACGGAGGAAAAATCTGTCTTCTTACCTGATCGACGGTTCTCTGAAGGATCTGACATTTGTCAGTCTTGCCAGAGCTCATGTCCGTGGAGGAAATCAGCTCGGCAAGCTCATCGATATACAAGTTCTCTTGGGTCCGTCGTCTTTTTTCATTAAGGCACTTGTTACTGCAAACAATCGAAATGGAGAATTAACACATCTGCGACACACCAGGCCGTACGAGAGAATCGCGTTCAAATATTACATTTCATCATAATGGAAACTAATGTCAAGAGTGATCATCGATTCGCGAATGCCAAAATGCGCGTATATAGAGTATTGAGAGAAGTTGTTGCTTAATAACAATTTAGAATATCTGTTCCAAAGGAACACGCGCAAACCCGCAAAAGGCGCCATTCAGACTCGAGACAACAGAGAGAGAATTATCCAGTTAATTTTCGACGTCGTCGTCGTCGTCGTCGACTCGCATTTGCTTTCTCGCCCGTAAGAGACTGGCCTTCTTGTTTCCCGACGAAAATCCTCACACTCGTTAATTACTCAAGTAAAGATAAACAGACGAGGCACGCGGGACACACGTCGCATGCACGTTACTTTTACGGCCGTGGTTTCGCCGGTTTTATCGCGTCCGAGAATGCCCTCATTCGTGATAAGCAAAGTGGCCGGTTCCTCCAAGAATGCCTAACACTCGTGCGAATTCACGTGCGCCATTCGCACGTCACATTTTTAGCACTTTGTTGCACAATTTTTATCACACAGACCCCGGCAGACTTCCCACAGTCGATTCTCGCCCGGAAACCCGCCGTCCCGAAAACGGCAGCCTTGATTTATCGGGCGCATCGCGCGCGAATGTGCGTCCCGACGATAAAAATTTCCAGATCAGATCGAAACTTCACGGGGAGCAAACGGGGGTGTTTGTGCGAATTTACACGCGCGGGTATTTCGTGCGGGTTGTAGGTAGATGAGTAGAGGTCTCTTCGGTGCTCCATCGCGGTAGATCTCCCCCTGCTTTCAGTTGAGAAAACATCAGCGCCGGTGATTGATCGTCAATCACGCTCGTCGCTCGAAATTTCAACGGAGATTCTTCCCCGCTGGGTGATCCCCCTCCCCTCCCCCGCCGCGACGTGATATCCCGCGGGAGAGAAGATTCGGCAATTTTGCACGGAGGAAAATCATTAGATGCTGAATCAACTCCAGTCCCGTTGAAACGCTCGGTTGACCTTGCCGTGACGTCACGTCGGCTCGACAGTGACTCTCACTTTGCTAACGCTACTCTGCGATTTTAATGTCTCAATACGGCTGTCTTACCGGTTACTGCCACCTCGCGACAAAGCGAACGACCATCGCGATCCAGGATCGCAGGATTAAAAGCGAGAGCGACTCGAGCGACGGGAGTTTGAGATTTTGCGCGTTGCAAAAATGAGGCGCGCGATAAGCGCGGCGAGATTGTTTCGTTTTTGTTCCGAAGAAACGAAAATATCGTTTGGAGAAGTCGTCCCGCGATCCTTATTTCTGACATGCGCGGGCGGACTTTTCTCACACGTCGAGACTACGGCTATTAATTACTTGATCAGAAGGACGTGTAGATATCAGTTTCTGACTGGAAACTGGAGATCTGAGAGCGCGTTTGACTCGACTTTCTGCTGCTTTCTGAGACTCTTATACGCCGCAACATTCTCCTTCTCACGAATGTTTTTCGAAATTTAGGAGCGGCAATCCAACGAATACTTTTTTTCGTTAACAACAACGCAAAACGCGCGTGATTGTTGCAAAAGTAACGACTGGCATTTCCCGAATGCCGAGTGCAAACGCGCAAAAATAAATACACGATTTGTTCGCGTATTATAATTTAATGAAACTTCACTCGCGCGCGCGCGCGCGCGACGTTAAGCAAATATTGCTTTGACATTAAAGCCTGTTCAATCAGTGGCGAGCGCTTAAAAACTCGCGCGCGCGCGCGCGTTTATGTTTGCCATTAATAATTCGATCGAAACGATAAGCTCTTTGGCAAATTGGACGAGAACGGATTACGGCATGGCGCTGCCAGTGTGTACGCATCGCCGAGCATTTAAATCAGGGGTTCCCAAACTTTCAAATCTCGCGCTTCGTTCGACACTCTGGAGGCGCCCGTCCCTCCCACCCCCTCTTGTCTGCCTCTCCTCCCTTTAGCAAAAATTCAACAAGAAATTAACATTCCAACTCGGAGGAAACTGTCATTCTCTGTCCCGTCAGATCCGCCGAGCTTTTCCCGAGTTTTACGAAGCAATTTCTTACCTCTGCACGCGCGTTACCTCGAGATAAATTATTAGGACGTGATCAACATTTTTGCCAAGACTTACTGTTTAATTCATGAGATGAATTAGTTTCGTAACATTACACGGATATTAAAACGAGACTTCTGAGCAAGAGGCAAATTTAAGTGCTTGCAATGTGCGACTCAAAGTTTAATCATCACGATTTTCCCTCCTTTTGTCAATCAGACTGAGTCTGAGAACCGATGCTTTTGAATTTCGACATTGCAATTTCGATATTTGCCTTTCGTTGCCTCGCATAGGCCGATAGGTACCGTGATTATTGTCATGAATAATATCGCTTATTGATGCCCGTATGAATCGAGTTACGTAATAATGAAAGGTCAAGTTATATAATAAAGGAGGACTCGAGTGTGTCGCATGTTTTCGTTATCCGTGTATTCGTGATAAACGCTATCGTTATATCGTAATTTCTATCCCCTCTCTCTCTCTCTCTCTCTCTCTCTCTCTCTCTCTCTCTCTCTCTCTGCCGCGGCACCTTCGATAAATGGAATTGGTCGACGCGGATACGCGGGATCGCCTCTTCCTACTGCGACCAAATTCGCTGCCAAAAGAGAGCGAGGGAGAAACTCAAGTTATCGTTCATTATAATGCCGAAATTGCGGATCCGAGCTCGTCGCGCGCGCCTCGAAAAAACGCGACGAAACGGCGGGAGAGATATTGTTACTCACATTTGCGACTGAGGCTTCGCATCGGATTTCTTTCTTTTCTTCGTAATGCTGCCAGTAATCGCACTCATTTTGACCCACAACTGCGGGTCTTGCAGTTCACACGGGCCAGGCCTGCAACACAAGAATAAAATTCGCCTTTACAACAGCATTGAACGTGTCGAGAAGTAAGAATATCGTCGGATCACAACAGTTTCGACTGAATCGAAACGCAGCCGTGCGTTTCAAGCGCGACTCTAACGATGTGTTCGCGCCGTGTTTGTGAAGTCAAACAACGTTTAGAGACACGTGTACACAGAAATTGGCTTACATTGTCAAAGCGCACAAATACGAGTACCTACACACGTCCGATAAGATTTGAGTATGTATAACCGGAAAATGGGAGGAAAATTTTCTTCGCTCCCACGCTTCTAATGCGACTTCCCTAAAATCGGCTTCCGGATGTCGGCACCGAGATAAGACTGATAGCGCAATAATCCTCGGTACCAGATTAGTGTCGAACGAAAAAAGTTGAAGCATATCGATATCGTGAAGCAACGATAATGCTGCCCGAGATATCTCTCGAGATTTTGTACGCTTCGTTATTTCTAACGAAGATAACTTCCACGAAATTTTATCTCGTCCCGAAGACGAACAGTCTTCGAATAATCTGCTCGTGTTCAACTAATTTGCTACACGTGGACGAAAGATGCGCGTGCGGCCTTCCACACTCTCCTCTCTCCCTCCCGCCGCCGCCCCCTCTCTCTCTTTCGTTTTTTCCTTCCAATGCTCTCCTTCTCCCATGAGTGTATCCAGATTCTTCATCATGTTATATACACACACACACACACACAGACACACATTCGCGGCGGAGCACAGAGACGCGCACGTCAGACGCCACTGACATTTCTCTCCTGCTTTTCATATTGCCGCGGCTCGTTTACTTCGAATCGATGGAAGCTCCTCCGAGACGGAGCACATTACGCTCGGCAAACGGAGTCGATAAAAAGGACTTTGCGAGCAGTGAGCCCCCGGCATTATTGAAAGGGAATTGACGACGGGGCACCCGCGCGTGCTATCGACAAAGCACACCGTCCGGAGAAATTGGCGAGTGTCGAATTGCTCGAACGACGATCGAAGACAATACGACTTGCCCGCTTGCGAGAGTACCGGTTTTACGAAAATAATTCCCCACAACTGCTGGAAACATTTCGAGGCGGAATTGACCTCGACGCGTCAAACGACTCGTCGTCGTAGCCAAAACTCGAAATTACATCCCGCGCCGAAAAGGACTCGCGAGTCGTCCGAATCCCTGTCGCCGCGCGGAAGAACGAAGAACTCTCGTTCGCACGCAATATAATCTCGACTTTATATATATTTGAAAGACACAATGGTGTACACAGCAAAGAATCCTCACAGGGTGTCGCGAAACGCGTCCGAGACGTGGACACGGCTTCGTCGCGCGCGCTTTTCACGTATTTCCCAAACGCCTCCCGGCCAAACTCCCGCGCGGCTCACGGCGTGGAGAAAACCTTCCTTGTCGCGCGCGGCATCATTCTCTCTTTCCGCATCAAAATCGGATTCACCGGCTAGCGCTCGCTATAAATACACGCGGCGCAAGAGCGACTCGAAATAATGCCTCGGACTAACCGCGGCGTAATGCAGCGTGCGATTCCTTGAGATCGACGTTTTTTTCTGCCTCTCTCTCTCTCTCTCTCTCTCTCTCTCTCTCTCTCTCTCTCTCTCTCTTCTTTCCCTGCGCCGGTAAGTTTATCACCGCGCGAACGGCGCGGTGAGGCCTCCCTTCGCCCTTTGTGTACGCCTTTTCGGTTCGTTTCCCCCGAATCGATAAAATTCCTTTATGGCGACACACGCTGGCAGCGTTATAATAAACCGGGGAACCGGCCGCTAACGAAGTGCCTAAAGATAATACCCGCGCGCGCAATAATAATAAATGCTACAAAGTCCTACGGGCTATGTGCGTGTGTGTGTACCGGAAGTTAACGTGTGTCCTACACAGAACGCATCCCCGCGCGTTGAACTATCGTGACTCTCGCGAGTCGCTAAATCTCTCGTTATCGAGCAACGCGGCAATTAAATCGCTCGACTCGGACGCCGTCGTTGAAACAGAAAGGCCCGATCCGTCCCGCCGAGCTCTCGCAGTCGCGCTCCTACGGAGAGAATCCTCCTTTGACTCTTCGTCGTCGACCGCGGCAACGTACGAACTGCGCGCCGCGCGACGACGGCCTCCGTCGTCATTGAAATAACGAGCCCGCTTCAGTCCGCTTTGTCTTATTGCCCGCGACTGGAAGATCATAGGTAATTCTAGGACACTCTGTATACATGTCAAGCGGAGCAAACAGAGTCACACATTGTGTCTCGTATCAAGGCGCTCGTCTGAGATAATAGCTCACGCAGCTTTATACGCGAAATTGCTTGTTTGCCCCGCTTCGCGCAATTGCGATACGCGTGGATCCCGCGCGGGAGTCCTGCGGCGCGCGCGGACCCGCGACCGAACAGCTGATCCTCGCGCGCGTGCGATCCTACAGTACGCGAATTGCAAAATTGCGCGTGGCTTTCGCGAGCGATAATAAGAGCGACGAGCATGATACACACACGTGGCGCGATTCGTTCCGTCCCGTAAAGTGGCCACGAGATGAACAGCGCACTCGAGCGAGCGCGTTACACCCGCTCGACGACTCTCCTCATCGTCATCGTCGCCCGTTAATTTATCGGCGTACCGATAACGTAATTAACGAGTCGTAAAGTGCTCGGCTTGCTGCGTCATAAATCAGACGCGTTACGTCACACATTTCTCAGCCGTAAACGCGCTCTCGAATCCCGCGAGGAATAACGAGAGCGTTCTTCCGCGATTGAATTCCGCGTGTCCTCGTCGTTTCGTTGCGAGCGAGCCGAAGGAAGGCAAGTCGCGCGTGCTTAGTGACAACTCGAGTGTGCGTTATGTAGCACGACGTCTCTTTGTGTACTTTGCACCGCTTTTGACGAATATGATAATCTTAAGATTTCCTCTTATCATTCCCCTGCCTCGTTTATCTCGAGGAAAGACCGTGAGACGCGCTAGAACCGATTTTCTTTCTTTCTTTTTTTTTTTTTTTTATTTAAGGAGTGGGGTTCCATTTTATCCGACCGGCGACAAAACGGCGATCGCCTTGCGGAATTGAATTTTCGCAGAGACGAACACGCGCTCGCGCCAAGAGGCGTGAAAAATTTAGTCGCGGGCTGTGACAACTTTTGAAATCCCGCACGGCGGCGACTCTATCGCGCGTCTACGAAACACATTTATTTTTCTTTAACGCCGCGTTCCCGCTCTGAATGCCCGATTTGTGCGCTTTAACAAAATTTAATTCACGCTTCGATCGCCAAAAGACGCACGCGCACACGTAGTGTTGGATATTAAAAAAAAAAAAATAACAAAAGCAGAAACACGAGAAAAACGGCAAAGCGACGCCGAAATAACGTCAGCTTCGAAATTGCGGTAAAGAAAAATATTGCCGCGCGCTCTCTCTCTCTCTCTCTTCTTCTCTCTCCCCCTTATTCCTTCCCCGGCCGGACGGACGAAGTTGTGGAAAACGTATAATTTTACACCAAGAGGCGTGCATAGAATGATCAACGTCGGATCGCATTATCGGCGCAGTACAAGCGCGAGGAGAAAAAGAAGGATAATACGCCGTTGCACGCGACGTCACGTCTGAGCGACTGTTAAACTCGAAAAATCGACGATAACTCGCGCACAGACGATCCTTACGTCACTTTATAATCGGTTTCGGATTTCGGCACGGCGCGACAAAAAATCGGACGAGGGAATCGTAAATGTCCGCGCATAAAATACTGCAATTTAAAGCTCGTTAGCTGGTAAGCAACAACCGATTCGGCCGAGCGCATTTAATGCGCGCGCGCGCGCGCGCGTGTGTGTGTGTACGTACGCATGTGTTTAAGAGACAGCAGAATCGTACACGGTGTCGTGTACGAAAAAAAGAAGGAAAAAGTCACCTCGACGAATTCGGCATCGGGGATACAATATGCACGTACGATCTGTCTCCGTTAATTATCGCCAGCAGTCGCGTAAAATTTTAACGGCGGATTCGTCGGCCGTTTTCGCAATCGACTTTTCTCGAGTGAAATTAATTCGGCAATCGTCCCGGCGGGGACTCGTCGACGAAAAAGACCGAGAAAATCCCTGGCAAATCGACGACCGGGCGAAGCCCGGAGAATCATGACGCTGCATATGCGAGATCGAGGCGTTAGTAATTAGTGAATACTACTCGCGCGGGGCGTTGCTCGATTGCTTAATTAATGCGGCACTCGCTAATCCCTCGGTCAATGACGCGTGCGATTTTTGCGGGTACGACACTCTTCCGCCTGAATCTGATCGAAAACAAAAAAAAAAATAGCTGGGAAAATGATTCGCGCACGCGCACACGTGTAATGCATCACAGAAGTTGTTTGAGATCCGCCGCGAGTGCCACTGATCTCCTTAATGAGAATTTAATTACGAGCAATATCGAATTACACGCGCAACGACGTCAGATTATCGACGATTACTTGAGACGTCTTAAAAGTAATTGCCGCTCAAGGTAATATCGTCGTGTATAATTAACGCGAAATTATCATCCGCTGCTCGGCGATTAAAATCGACACGCACGAAGAAAAAGAAAAAATTTGTGAATATCAAACTTTCGCGAGAAACAGCGCTGTCCGCGCCATCGTTTCTTCCTCCTCTCATTTCTCGCGGTGTGTATTCCTTTATCGTATCGAAGCGAAAGCGCATTTCAAATTCGATAAGTCGCGCCGAATCGCGGAGGTACGCGAGATAGCGTTATTATCTCAAGAAAACAAAGTCACAATGACACGACCGTCCTAATTCTCTTGACCCAGAATCGTCAAGAACGGCGCGTCCCGCTCGATCTAACGTTAAAAAAAGCATGAAAGAAAAAAATAGATCAGATCGAGACGCGCGTTTCGTCGCGGTGACCGCGCGAGACGTTCTCTCTACGAGAGCGAAAAATCATGTCACCGGGCTGGAGCCGAGAGAAGGAGAGAGAGAGAGAGAGAGAGAGAGAGAGAGAGAGAGAGAGAGAGAGAGAGAAGATACGATTACATAGGAAAATCCGAGA